TACTTGCATCGCGCTTCATTTTTTTGCAGGAAATCTTGAAAATCGGCATAAATCTTCCTCCTATCTACTCAACATGCGTGCAGCTAGCCACAGCAAAACACAATTAGGGTTCTACCATCAAGCCGTTCGTATTATATTTCAACATGTCGTAAGAATACCGAAGAACACGAGAATAGAGAAACACAGGAAAGTAAACTTTTGTTTATTTATACGGCCCATGGCAAGCCTTTATCGCGCCACTATGATGAACAACAAAATCTGTAGGCTGAAGATATTTAAGAGCAAAATAAAATAGAAGACAGCAAAGTATTTTTATTGTCATTTGATAATATAAGAAAATGAATGATTATTTCGTTTCACCACGAAAATATTAAATTCGCACTTATCATATAGCATTCTTGCCTGTTGTTTGACATCCACACATGGAGAAACAAAAGGTTGGATTCCCATAGAGAAATGTCATTGCGGCGGTGAAGGAAAATCCCTTTGTTTATGTTGTGTGGCGACATCTACTATTTGCAAGTGGATACGTGAAACTAAGGCGATCTGCCACCTTGCCGGGGACTTGAAAACAATTCAATCTGAACATTGCATTAGGTCCTAAGTAACACGGACAAGATTCTCTTCGTCGACTTTCTCCTTGAATCCACTCGGCCCAGGTATTTTCAGCACACATATCGATAAAAGAAGTTTTTATCTCGTATCTAATTGTTGTACACAACAAGAAACGATTCTGTGCTCAAGTTATTAAGGCTGTGTTCCATTTGGTGAATGTTTACTTAAATTTGACAGATGGAAAATTTTCAAATTTTTGTTTCTTCAGCAGACTTATTTCTGACAGACAAGGAATCAATTTTGACAGACGCTTTCTCGAAAATCGGCCGATCAACAACAGGGATTTTCGAACATCTTTTTTTTTTGCTGCTCTTCTTTTTCCTGGTAGACCGTGTGACGGTCCATCTCGTCTTCGAACATCTTAATTTATTTTCGAAGTGTCAAATCTAATTGAACATTTTCCAAATGGAACACAGCCTTAGTATTTTTTATTTGTTCAATCGGTAGATAAAAGATGTACCGAGAACTTATTGGAGGGATTCATAGCTAATTGATATCCCGATCAACTATGAAATGTTGCATAACATTGGTGCAAAATTGTGCACTCCGTTTACCGTTTTGAAGTTGAATCGCAGAGGAAACCTTATTTCTGGTCAATCTCATTACCACATAAAAATTTCAAGAGTACAGATATCAGCTCTCACAAACTTATAACAAAGAAACTGGAACTTCACGTTTGTTGCAGTCCAGTACACAAGGAGTTTCCATTTCATGAGTGATATCACAACCGTCCAAGATTTGTGTCCTAGAAATCTTGAAGTGCTAGGGAATATCAGCCATTATGACGGTCATTGTTGGACGCTTCAATGAATCACCTGAAGAAAGCCTTACTCATATCTGATTTTTATTTAGGAACCAAATTTAATAGAATGTGTATTCGCATTTTTATGAGGTCTTGAAATTAACCAGGAAATCCAAAATATGTACATAGGACCGAAATCATAGGTTACTTCTACTGTATTTAAAATCAATATCTAGAAAAACGCACGAGAATTTCACTACACAGCTTAACGTAGTCTACATCAACCATGCGGTCGTGTCTTGTTCATATTAATGCTTATGGTTACTTGGATACTCAGCGCTGAGTGAGGCCTAGCCTGGAAAACTGGATAGTAGTTTATGAGATGTTTATGTAATTCATCTATTATTGGACTACGCCAAAAATGCAGGCATGCTTGGCATGCACAGTTGTACACACCAACTGCTCATTTGTTAACAACTTTTGTTTGTTGAATTTTTGTTTTTATTTAAAGTAATTGATAGATTAGCATCATAGCTTACTTAAGATATGCAAAGAGTAGGTAAAGGGGGCGGCCCCGGCGTAGTGGTTAGCTTCCATACCTCTCACACCAAAGCCACGAGGTCAAATTTTACCCCCGGACGAGTCACGAATGACCCAAGAGCGTTTAAGTGACTATAAAAATAAAAAAAAAAGTTGGTAAATCTTAACATTTGATTCAACACCAATGAATTTTACGCTTAAAGTCCGAGATGTGCAGCGAGCATTTCTCACTTGATTTTTACAACGCACATCTACTTTTTCTTACGTAGGGTAAATTATGGCTTCGGCACCCATTGACTGTTTACGGCAACCGAAATTGAAACGTTAATTTCACTGTATTTTCCCATCAAAACTCTTCGCTGAATGTATAAAGCCGATTCCTTAACTTTTCAGCTTCAACCTGATTACATTTTTACGACTGTGCAATCCTGTTATGCCATATATTTCTTTGAATGAAATATACACACTACAAAATACGGCTGATTTCGAGTTGCCGATAATAGAACAGCTGGTTAACACGCAGTTCAAATGGAAAGGGTGCCGAAGAAAAAGAGACTGCCGACAATAGTCTCACTCACCTGAGAAGTTTGGAGCGTTGTAAAAACATGTTCAACCCGTTTTGATCAATTCTGTCGATTGGAATTGGTAGAACAGGAAGCAGCAGATAAATGTCAACAAACAAACCTGTCATGTATGTGTGTGACGCTGAGAAATCGCTAATAGAAGTTCGGACGCTGCTTAGATTGACGAGAATACGTAAATTCCCCTATCTATAACAAACTTAAACTTTATTCTACCTACTGCTTCAAACAGAACTATCACCCCTATTCTGTATTTCGTTTCGAACGAAATTCTCATACAAAAAAAATATTTTTTTGTATGAGAATTTCGTTCGAAACGAAATACAGAATAGGGGTGTATGTTTTGTCAACTGTATGGAAAGTTATTAGCAAATGTGCAGTTCGTGAAGAAAACTGTGTATGCCAAGCATGAATGCAGGTCTTCGGTGCACTTATTCCTCTTGAAGGAAGAAATCCAGAAATCCATGCTCGGTAATGGCGACCTGTTTGTATGAATAAATATCCAGAGGTTCGGATTTTAACCCCTCCCTTTCCCTCTCCCAGGAACAGAAGAAAAAAGAACAACATACGCCCACCAGTTAGTGTCAAAAAGCACAGTGAAGGATACATTTCTGCATACAAACAGGCCGCCATTACCGAGCATGCATGGGAAGCTGGATAAGTGCTGCGAAGGCAACAAAACGATTTGATGTAAACGTGCACTTCTATCACAAAAACGAAACGCGCTTATTTTTACAGTTTGGTGTAAAATGCGCAATATTTAAAGGTGTATTATAGAACGTACTGCATGTCATACACCATCCTAAAGCTGTGTTCCATTTGGTGAATTTGACACTTTGTTTGAAAATTTTCCATCCGTCAAATTTAATTGAAAATTCAGCAAATGGAATACACACGGCGAATAAGAACGACCCAAATTTGAGTTTAGTTCACTTATAATCGCCAAAAGTGCAGGAACTCAGCGATGAGTAAAATTTGTCTCATATTTTCCCAGGTTTTTCCAGGATTTTCCAGGAAAAAATTCCCGAATTTGAGAAAATTAAAGATTGAATTCACTCAGTCTATTAGTACTACTCCGAGACTGAATAAAATTTTCGTCAATTTCCTCATTTTCCGGCAGATTTTTTAGGTTTTCCACAGGAAACCATGAGACAAATTTACTCATCGCTGAGTTCCTGCACTTTTGGCGATTATGAGTGAACTAAACTCAAATTTGGGTCGCTCTCATTCGCCGTGCAGCCTAAATCCTTTTGTTTACGCTACGTCGTATTCAAATGCGATTTGCGTGCCTCCGCACGCCTCAGCACGCACCCAACTAGAACATTAAATCAGTGCCAACATTTCAAAGGGGTGCAATTGCTTTTGTAAACAATGACTTTAGCCGTCAATTTCTCGTGAATGAAATCTTACCTCTCCGAAATAACAATGCTAGCTGGTAGAGGAGACATTCCTCTACCTGCTGGTGTCATTATTTTTCATGAGTGAGCTTTTATTCGCGAGAAATCGACGGCTAAATCCATTGTTTACAAATGCAATTACGCCCCTTTGAAATGTTGGCACTGAAATCAGTGCCAACATTTCAAAGGGGCGTAATTGCTTTTGTAAACAATGACTTTAGCCGTCAATTTCTCGTGAATGAAATCTTACCTATCCAAAATAGCAATGCTAGCTGGTAGAGAAGACATTCCTCTACCTGCTGGTGTTATTATTTTTCATTCGTGAGCTTTTATTCGCGAGAAATCGACGGCTAAAGCCATTGTTTACAAATGCAATTACGCCCCTTTGAAATGTTGGCACTGAAATGTTAAAAGCAAATTTTGCTTTCCTTGTTCACCTTGATATGTAATTCATTGTGCACAAGATGCAAAGCACATTTTGCAAACAAATTTCCGACACGCAGCATGTGCTCAAGCGAACCGCATCACCGGAGAAAAACCGGCAGGAACACCACGAAATGGACCGTGTCGGCTTTCAACCAGTACCGGAAACAGTATCTGTCAAAACCTGTCTACCCGCCGATGCATTTCATTTGATATGATCCCCCTCTCGCTTGCTCACGTGTCATTGAATGCACCAAACAAACAGGCAGTGCGACAGGGATAGAACAGAGTTTGCGAAAAACGCGACACCATCGTCATTCGCAAATAATGCAGTGCTGGCAGGTCGAACGGATTGCTGGCATAATTGGATTCTGTAAATTTTAAATTGAAACGAATTTACCGCCGAAATCATAGGTCAATGGTGGTTTTTGTGATTTTGGATATTGTTTGATGAAATTAAAAGCAGTGAACTGAACGTTTTATGCTTGGTGGGAAGCTATTTGCACGGCATAAGTTAAATTTCCATTTTCTTAAATTGTCAAACTTCCTGGCAACACTAGCCCATCGACGTTGCTGAGCCGTGCTGAAGACGACTAGCAAGAAAAAAGCAAGACTTGACTCGATCCTATCGTGAGTGAGAAAAGAAGTACTCTCTTGTGTGTGCGCCCGCGGACGGTATTTGCGGTTGGTAAAAAGGTAATAATTCGTGTTAATTCCGTAAAATTTTATACGAAACGCATAGCTTAACTGTCGTGAAACGATTTGCGCTAATTTTCACGGTGAAAACTGACCGATTTGCGGGCTGAAAATAACTTTGAAAAATTGTGCTTCGTGTGGGCAGTGCGGAAAATCGACATTTTGATTTTGTGCGTCGTGCTTCTAGCGAAAAAAATTGTGTGCAAAATTAGTGGTAGAAATTTTTCGCTGAATGATCGTTTTTATTTCCCTGCAGAGAGTGTGTGGTGTGGAGAGCGGAGCTAGATTGTGGCAGGAACGGATCTAATCCTTTAGAGAACAGTTCGAGGAACAAAATGTCTGGAAATACGTGCTTCAAGTGTGACCGGCCGGGACACTACGCCCGCGATTGCCAAAACGTTGGCGGAGGTGGTGGTCGTCCAGGCGGACCCCGGGACCGTCAGTTCGGCGGCGGCGGTGGTGGTGGTGGTGCCGGAGGTGGCGGCGGCGGACGTCGCGAGAAGTGCTACAAATGCAACCAAATGGGCCACTTTGCACGTGATTGCAAGGAGGATCTGGACCGGTGCTACCGCTGTAACGGTAAGTTTCTATTCCTTCATTGTTTCCCCTTCTTTTCTCGCTGTGTGGCAAACACGTTTATGATCGCGTGTACAAAAGTATATGCGACCAACCTATCCGAGTCGAAACTCCACATTCTCATCGGCACCCTGTTACGAGAGGGGGATTGTCCGCTGGTGTTCCGTTTTGCATGGTGTAACCTTTCCCGAGATCGAGATTATCGTTCAATCAATATTCGCCGCATCACCATGTAGCCGGGTAATGGATGGGATAGGAGACAAGCCCGGCAGAGCAGAGGTACATAAATTTCGATCTGTGACGCCGAATGCGCGAAAGAGAAAAACATCAAGGCAGGAAACAATCCTCTCTAGACGATGGTGCATGCCGTTGATGAGAGTACTTTTTGTTTGACGGCTGGGCACTAGTGCTGCCAGTTTTCTGTTATTGTTATGATGCTATTTTATTGAATTTTAGCCGTCCTTAAAGATATCAATTTGTGCAATATTTCAAGACATGAATGCACCATTAGATGTAAAGTGTCGCTAATAATAAAAAAGCGAAAACGCTGATAAAAGTGCGCTATTACGTTAATTCGTTTTGGTCTCTTCTACGCACTTTTTTCTTAGCTCATCGAAAAAATGCGCAGATCCTAATAAATAAATACCATAAATGAACAATAACCCAAATAGTCGAACTTTTCCACAAATGGTTTGGATGATACCCCAAACACGTCGTTAAGGAAAATAACCATAACAAATTTATTAGGGGAAGACGCCAAGACGATACAACGTTGAAGCGCACTAGTCAAATTAGAAATGCAATAAGTAGGGGAAATGAATGTAATGTCGGCCTAAATGGGCCCATACATAAATTCAGCAATTGACTAAATTTTCAATAGCGACCAAAAATATCCATTAGTACCGCCCAAAGATAAAATTGGATAAATGCCAGATTTTTAGCGAAGGGCCCAATCTTAGATCCATAGGCTAACATTAAATCCATTTCCCCTAATTCGAACGTTTTTGAACATCATAATTTTAAAACGAATGGAATGTATTTAATTACCGAAGCCGTTCGACACCTTTCTTGAGAAATTTTCAAGAATCTGCAATGAAGATAAAAATATTCAAGATGTCGGATATTGACATTTCGAGATACCAGATTCGAAAAAATAATCCTACAATCTTGCAAAATGTTCAAAGCTTATGGACATAGATGAACAAATTGAAGGATAAGATTGATAGAAGCCACACATGGCCGCTAGCATAGCCAATTTTACAAGGCAAATCAGCCAAGACAACGGTAATTTCTAGACTAACATTTGAAAGGGGTGTAAGAGCCAAAATGTAAACAAACCATATTTTGCCACATATAGAGCGAATAGTTCACAAACTACTCGATAACACGAAAAAGTAGAAGAAAATATCACTTCAAATCATCAAAAACGTTTCTTCTTACATGGCGTATTTCCAATTTTCAACTCTATGATGCATCTGGTTGTTACGCCTTGCACCAGAACTACGAATTATATCGTTTTAATATGCCAAATGTTTTGATTCTGTAGTATCTAGTCACGCCCGATTCATTTGAAATGCATCCGATTGATAGTTCACGTGTAAACAACGAACAAAAAGAAGACCAAAAAATCTCCGGGCGTAATTCCACTCTCACAAAATTTGCGAACGAAGAACCAAGGCGGAACAACAAACAAAAAATACCGAGGGTGTACTTCCACGGCGTATCACCAGTGTTGGCAGTTCAAAGGGTGGAAGATCTGGGGGGTAACAACATGTATGAAATTATCAGGGCGTATGATGTTTTCTTCTCAATTTCACGGCAAAGAAAACTTTTTTTTTTTGAGTTTTTAGTGATGCATGATGATAGATTACACTATTAACTATATGTCAAGCTTATAAAATCAACCAGAAAATGGAAAGTCGTGAAATAGGATTAATTTTTAGGTCAACAAAATTCAGAAGCGATTTTCTCGATATGGTCTTTTTGGAATTACGCCCTTTTCAATGTTAGTCTAGATTTCCCCAGTACTTTATCCAGCTGGTTGTCGGGTACCTCTGGTGGCAAGTCATACACACGCACATATTGGATGAATTCACCAGCATGCGACATGCGTACCTTTGCCGTCGTTCCATTCGCATAATGGAAGATTAAATCCTCCGAATTGTATGCCAAAGCATGGTATGGAGCATCGCTTCCTCTGATTTGAACTTCATGAAGACTCCCCTTTCCTCACCAATGCGATAAACAGCTTCCATTTCAGCCGGATCCGCGTCGAGTGCTTTGGCGAAATTTACAATCTCTCCGATGTTTGGTTTAGCATCACCATGGCTGAAGCTAAACTTGATGGTGTTTTTTTTATTTCACACATCTTGTACCGTAGCAACAAAAGGCACCGAACTGTTAGTAACGAAAAAAGAGCAACTATATAATAGCGAGTCTCGAAAACAGGCTATCGCGTGGTTCACACCGAAATAAAAAAAAAAATCGACGGTAAACAGCTGTGGGACAACTGAATGATGAATTTTGATGCAAGTCTAAGAGTGGTCTCTTTCCTGGGGGTTCCCGAAAAATGACTGGATGTGGCCAGCATGATCCTGGCTATTCCTAATAACTGCTATTGAACAGGTCGTAGAATTTTAATGTGATTCAAGGTATCACATGATGGTTTTTTGACACTTCTTCGGGGTGTATCGAAACATGGCCAGGTGCAGTCAGTGTGGCCCTAAGTCCTCCAAATGACTACTATTGAACTAGTTTTTGAATTCTAATATGATTTGAGGTGTCACATGTTTTTATTTTTGTTTATTAATTTATTTGATAAGGCTCAACCGAATTAACTTTACAGAGCCGAGGATTCTTGGTCACCATACAATACATTTTAAAACTATAGTTACAAGGTACAACACAATAAACACTTTATCTTCCGCTATCCAAAAAGCCTCCTCCATCAGAACTGGAGCCGCTTCCAGTAGTTTCATTGTATGGCAAATTGTTGTACGCCAACGAGGGTCAGAGCGCTTCCATTGCAGCAATGGACGCAAAACGTGGTCAGCACTCACACACTTATCACGAAACGGTTGCTTTCCAAAGTCGACGGCGCATCGACCGAAAGAACTGCTGATGAAGAACAATGAGGAGGACCACACAATGGTTGCTGCCGAGAAAACAGACGATCGCGTAGCACACATCGAGAGTGGCCTGCTTTTGTCGACAGCCGAGTGAACACTGACATGTTTTTATTTGACGGCTGTTGATTCTAATTCGGTTTAGTGGTTGCCGAGAAACGTGTCTTAATAGAGTTGGTTGGAAATGCTATCGAACATGAAGCTTTAGCACCGACAATTATTAGCGAAAACAATAAAATTTCTGACCAAAGCACACTACTGACATCTGGCTCCATGTTCGTGGGAAATATTTAGCTAAGCCATGCACCCGCATGTAAAAGTTATGAATTGGTTCGTGTCTGATCTATTCTGGACAAATTATTTTTATCTAAATCAAAAAATTCTATGGTTTGACAGTTCGGATCACTGCACATTTAAATCGGTCATTTACGATTTTCGGGCATAAATCAGAATTAAGTGTCATGTCGGTGGCTTTAGTGTGATAATTTATTAACCAGAGAATGGTCTGAAGATGGTAGGTAGATAGTTCCGCTAGAGTACGGTAGTATGAAAATTGAATAGGGTAGAGAACTACTTCGGCCTAATCGCCCATTTTGGGCCTATCGAGCAGAAAATTTCAAATAAATCCATAATTTCAGAGTCAACAAGTCAATTATGCATTTGGTACGATACTTTAGTTAATAAGCTTCCGAACGAAGTCAATGAGAACGCGTGATATGAATGTTTGAAGCGCTCCGACCGAATCAATTTGTATCTTCATCCGATAGGCCGAAGTGAATTCAATGGCGTTTCAATGCGTTAGGCCGAGTTTGCCGTCAAGAAGCAGTGTTAGACTTTTGACAATATCTCAACGATTGGTTTCTCTTTATCAAATCTTACGGGTACGTACGGAAAGGTAAATAAATTTAGAAGCCATAAGTAATAATAACATTCCGTTTGGTGCTAAACTGCGCTAGATTAAGAAATACTAAGTGCGGGTTGTGCTTAATAGGCCGGAAATGGGGTAGTTAACCCTATAAGTTGGAAATGAGCGAAGGGCTATTAATGCGACGATACTAGTCAAACGCACATTTATTTACCTAACTCGTACAATGTACGAGGAGATTTGAAGTATTTCTGAACGCTCAGTATTCGGTTCCGGTGTGCTTTCCTGTTTCAAAGTTTCGTAAGTGAAGTTAAGAATTCAAGGGTAGAGATCTACTTCGGCCTAAGCGCCGATTTTGGACCTATCAAGCAGAAAACATCAAATAAATCCATGATTTCGGCGTTAACAGGTAAATTCTACGTTTGATACACTCAAAAATATTAGTAACTAAAGGATGATTTAAATTTAATCATTTTATAATTAAGACATGTTTATGCATTGTTCAGATTAAAATATGATTTAAAAAATATACTATGTTCGAATAACGGCGTTGAATTCGTTCAGTATATTTCAAATAACATCTAAAAATTGAGAAGCAGACGTAATATCTATCGTAATAGCACGCATAGCCGTTACAGTTAATTCCATTTTCGTTCCTCATACATTTGTTTGTCTAGTGGATCGGTCTTTGAAGCGCTGAACATAACCAACTATAGACTGCACTTCTAGTCGCAGTCAAGAAACGATGAGGACCTGATAGTAATAGTTAAATATTCTTAAGGAGCTGTGAGTCGGGTTGAAAAAGATCGAGGAGCTAGCTTCAAAGGAGAAATCAATATTTTCTGCAAGGATTTTATAAAACTGCACATCTATGATAATCAGTTCCGCCGAATTGTGTTCGAGGAGCTAAAATTGAACGCCTTCCGATGGGAAATAACGAACAACTTTTTATGAGGATTAGACATTTCCGACATGCAACTGAAACTTTTTCGAGCCAGTAGCTGAGAGCTTCA